CTATTATGGTATGTCCTGACTGTTATGGTGAGACTGAAAACTGTGTCAGTCTGTGATTTTGTATTGGTACTTTAAGTGTTTTATGAAATTTAGAGGTTAATTTTTCTTTTTTAGATGAAAGAAACGTTTTGGATCTGTTTTTGTAGTACATACGAAAAAACTCTGAGCATTTTGTATAAAACGGATAGTCTAATAAATAATTAAAAACAAAGTGATTATATGATATATATTTTTTCATTATATCCTTTACTTTTAATGTCCAACTTTATTTATATTGGCTTTCTTAGAAAAATCGTATGAATCGAGGTTTTAAACTTTCGGTCTGTGAGACCGTGCGCGGGTATAGGTGTCACAAATATTGGCGCGGGTATACGAAGGTTAACTGAGGTCTGTGTATGGAACTTGGTACTTATTTAGATCTCACTTCTTTTATAGGCGAAGCATTCCAATATTATCGAACTTGGCAGCCTTTCACATTTATGTTTTGGGTGGGATAGCTATTACAAATAACGCCCTTTTTCCTTAGTTAGAAAATGAAGCACAAAATTACCTAACAGATATTATGTACAGTAATTTCTGTGTTTTATTATATTACAAAGGGTCAAATAATATACATTTTGGAAAATGAGCTTTGATTTCAAGATTCCAAAACTTTAATCACAACGTAGACACACAAATAATACTTTTAGAATGTCAATTAGGTACATAAATCTAGGTACCTAGGACTTTCTGCTTTCTAGGTACATAAAATTATAATTATGTCAATTTTAAACTCCTTTCAAATGTGTGCAACCCTCCCGCATTTCTGCTGTCGTGTCTCAAATACACTTCTCATCAGAAAAATCGAGATACGTTAGTTTTTTAAACAAAACACGAAGTGTATTAAAATGTTATTTGAATTTAGAACATTCACTGATATTAAAATATTTATAAACCTAATAATACTCTCTTAAATAACATATTAATTACTAAATAAACAGGATTCTCTTATAATGTGATCTCTACAAAACATAAAATTGCAAGGTGTCTCAATTTTTTTGTTGAGGAGTTTATATCCGCGTCAGACAGGCGATAACGCCTCTGCCTGCCCCTCAAGAAACAACGGCGTGATTTGTATTTCAATTAACAGACCTAGCATAACATTAACGACATTAATCTGAACACAATGTTCCTACTTTCCATTTTGTCCTACAATGGGAGTAGAAAATTGAAACAGAAAATGAGTTTTATTACCTAATCTAATTCTTTTGTACCAAGAAATGTTTCTTTGAAATAAATATTTCGAACATTTTTCTCTTGAGGTTACTGTTCTTGTAGCTAATTGAATAATTTTACTGTGAATAAAAGCAAGGTTTGTCTCTTGAGGAAAGAAAATAGGTTTATTTATCTTTCCTTTTAACTAAAGTTACCTTAGAAAGTTACTGAATAACATAAAAATAACAATCAATACAGGGACTTAAAACGCCTGTCACAGTCATGCGATTTTAATGTGACATCAAAGATATATTTCATTGCTTATTTTTTGAACATTATGAAGCTAACTGCGAAATCATGATAAAAAAAATTGGCTGTTCCATAGAAAACTAACTTCTATTCTATCTAAGTAGGTACTCAATCGACCGACATGTATGGAACAGCTGTTTATTTTTCGTGATTTGGAGATTTCGTGATGACCTCATAGTAAAAGAATACCTAGAATCCCAAATTTGAATAAATGCCTGCTTTCCAATTACAAACTGTAGATCTCAACATTCCTAAATTCAACTAAGATTCCGCTATAGCAGTCAGATATCGAAAACTTGTAATCACAAATTAGGGAGATTACTGACTGACTAAGTATAGAAACTAAAAAGCCCAATATTGGCAAGATAGCATCTACGGAAATTGAAAACGGACAGCCAAAGCTGGATTTAGAAGACCGAGATAACGAATTCGTCTTGAGAATTATACAGGAGATAACGTGATGTGATGATGACTTTCGCGCGAAATGTGACTAGACTACCGATTGTAAAAAATTATCGTGATAAAATAAATTACAGAATACAGATTCGGGCAAATGACAAGCTATGACATAGGGTCCATTTTCGTTTGTTTACTTCTGTTTTAGTATGAATCTGACTGACTGTTACATAGCTCTTGGGACGCCAAATGTATGGTTAACGCTGATTTTACAACTATCATCCAACATACACGAGGATCGAGTTCCCATAGTAGGTTCCATACAGATTTCAAATACAAATAGGTACCTATGCAAATAAATTGGTATTTACTTGAACCATGGCTCTTCTCTTCAGCCTAAACAAAAATGTCCCAAGATTTTTGTTCCTGTCTGGAAATGGACACCACGATCCACCAGTGATAAATTCAAGGGCCACGAAAATTCTCAACACAACAAAATGGTTTGGAATAAACCCAGAGCAAGGAAATGAGAGTTACCTACTAAGAGCAAGATAGTCCAAGAAAAACTCTTCACAATCAAACTCAACTCGTACTCTTCCCTAATTTATGATGACTCTGCCAAAATCCAATTTTCGTTGAACGAAACAAAAACACGTTACATTTTACATCGCGGGTATTTTAAAGGTAGCAAGACTAGCATCACTCCATTGCTTCCCATGGCTGCGGTAAAACAAGATTAAGGAGGAATAGTACCTAAACTTCAGCCTGCGAATGAATTTGTGCTGCTGCGCTAAAACACATACTAAACGTAGTGGTACCCTAGTAATATTATTTATTCTCTGGTAGTAGTACCCGAAAATATGAGGTTTATTAAGCAATGGACTTATGCGGCTATTGATTTTTGGAAAATTCTTCTTTACATTGATTTGTAGGTATACCTCTAAAATATACCCTTGGTGTGTTCCGTAAATAATGCATGCATTCCGCATGCTGAACACGTAGTACACCAAACACACAAAATATGAGGTTTATGTGCATCAATGGACGTTTGTGGCTGTTGATATGTTTGGAAATGCTTCGTTGTCTTTGTTCGTAGGGTGACATCTGAAACATTCCCTTAGTCTGTCCTCAAGTCTGTTCTGTAAATGAGGAATGCATCCCGCAGTACGCCAAATGTAACTCAAAATATGAGGTTTTGTGCATCAATAGACTGTTATGTTTGGAAAATGCTTCGTTATCTTTGTTTGTAGGTTTACCTCTGAAACACTCCCTTGGTCTGCGGATATAAATGAGATTGCGTTGCCACCGCTATCCTGTCCAAGATGAAATATATCGTCTTTTTATTCAGGCTTATCCTAACGCCCTTTGGACCATTTATACTAGATTTTTAGGCTTTCTTTTCGCGGAAATAAAGCTCGTAAAGTAATCAGCCTGTCTTCTGCCAGTATTTTTGTTTCAGCAAATAAGTATAATCGTACAAATAGTGATATTTTAGTATAGGTACTCACTCTCTATTCATGTTGTAGCTGTTGTTTAAAAGGGGCCACTGCATGCATACATACATACATACAAATATCACGCCTATATTTTATTTTATTTACTTTATATCCCTAGCGAGGAAGGCAGAGCGTAAACGGCTTTATGAATTGGCCATTTACACCACGTCTGACAAAAGTTTGAGATTCATTCAAAAGACTGTATCACTGTAGAGACAGGTTGTCAGCCTGTCGCTTAAAACTGCAATACATATCAACTTTCAAAATTTTCAAATTCCTTAGTCGCTTCTCACGGCACCCAAGGGAAAGATATGTACGAAGTGATGCTATTCTAAGCCGGCATCACACGGCAAAATCGGTTCACTGCACTTACACTGAAATATCCAATGCTGCTACTACGGTAGAAGTCAAAGACATCATATTACTCATAACATAAACATCAAAAGGCTAACACACTCTCAGTCAATCACACTTCCGTGTCTTTCTTATCTTAAATCGCGTATCTTTCTTTTCAATGCATTTCGAATCTCGAGACCTCTTTCAAGAGGGAGTTTATTAAGCCTCTAATACCTTCTGGAATGGGGTCAAAGTATGCGGGTCCAAATAATGTCGTCGCCATGATATTTATTGCATGGGGTTTCCTCATGGTTAAACCATGGGAATTTTGTCCTGACGAGACGGAGAAAGAAGTGTATCTCTTATCTTGTAATAAATAAACATGTCTCTAGTGGGGAAACCCCTTATGAAACACAACTAAGCTAATCAGCTGATTCAAGCTGTTATTGGAGCGAATTAAAAAAACACAGTGACCCTTGGGACTCTTTGAACCGGGCGATCCAAACATTTCAGAATCTGGCACTATTTAAATTTCTTCTTATTTACATGTTATCTGAATTTGGTGCTGGCTTAGAATTGCATCACCCCATATCTTTCCCGTGAGAGTCGTATCGTAAGAACCGACTAAGGGATTTGAGAGTTGATGTGTATTGTGCACTATGCTATGGTGATACATACACACACAGTTTTGTAAATGACTCTGAAACTTTTATTAGAAGTGGTGTAAATTCCCATTTTTACAGCCGTTTACGCTCTGCCTGCCCTACCTGCAAGGGGTATACGCGTGCTAATGTATGTGTGTATCTCCAGATGCTACTAGTCGTTCTATTCCATTCTATTACTATTTTGGCCTCTTGTGCATTTTGGCATTTACAAGTGCCCCTCAATTTCACTCTGTATTTTCACAATGCGCGATGTGTTGATACAGATCTTAATTGAAACAGACAGTTGGTTTGGGAAGATATTGAAAACCAACCCTCGGGCTGAATTGGAAACAGTTTCTATTACTTTATGTTGATTAGGTACTACAATACAGAGGAAAGATTTGTTTTTTGATTGTAGAGGTATGTTATTGATAAACTCCGAAACTGATTTCAAGAAACACCATACAACATTAGAAAGCTACAACAGCTTTGAGTATCATAGGCTACCTTTTACCACGAGATAGGTAATGCCTTATTCTCACGAGGCAACGGTATACCTACAGTGAGAACCACTGAAAATAAGAAATAGAAAAAATGCCATACATCGACCGGGAATCGAACCCGGGCCTCATGGCTCAGTGGCAGAGCGGTGGGGCGTTTACCCATGCGGCCCGGGTTCGATTCCCGGTCGATGTACCTATGAAATTTTTTCTATTTCTTTTTTTCACTTGTGAGAATAATAAAGCACTTTGAGTGCATTACAATTCTAATAGAGTGGGAACAACGTTTCACTACGGGCAAAGATCCGATTCTTAAGACGTAACAGCGGGCGGATGAAACCACTGGGCGGGCCATTAGTGGTTAATAAAGTATCTTTATTGGTTTAGGATTCGATATTGATGTTCTTGTTTTCGTCTATTTGATGGACATTCAAGCTAACGTTCGGTTAGACACTCGAACCGCCGATATAAGTTATGCGCGCGGCAAAATCAAAAACTGAACAAAATGTAAACTGAGGTTGACTGTACATTAGAAAATACCGAACATACTGGGTTGGATAACATCTGATCAATCATTATCGAACATCCTATTTATACATCGATAACATAGCAGAAATCTTTTTTATCTTGTTACAAAAACGATACGTTGTACGCAGAATCTTTTTTGACGCGCGAACAAAAGCCTCTTTCTTCCGTTTTTCTGAACACGACTCTCACACATGACTCTGCATGTTTTCATTGTTCCTTTTTGTCGTTGAAAGTAAGGTGGGTCACCCACACACACCGGAGGATAATTGCGTTTGGTGGTGTCCACCTTACGAATGACAACCTTTGACAAATACAATTCGCTATTTGACAGGTAAATAAAATATAAAAGTAGTAGTATATTGTCCAAAAATACTACAGACTTAATTCATCATTTGCCGAAATATTAAAAGTTAGAATATATAAACACGAGTATTATTATAAAAGGTATTGTTTGTTTTGACTCCATCCAAAATGAATTATGACGTCATATTTCAGTAATGGGCGTTTTTTGGAGAAACTAAACAGCAAGATGGCGTTGTACGCTGCCATAGACTAAAAGGGAATAAGTGTCAAAATTTGACAGCTAATCCCTTTAAGTCGATGGAGGCGTACAATGCCATCTCACGGATTAGTTTCTCCAAAAAACTTCCATTTTATACAAAATCTCGTTTTTTGTCTTCATAAAAAGTAGCTCATTTGACCTGTCAGTCAAGTAGCGGATTTGCAACACACGTGCGTGTTCCACATGTGTGCATTCATGACTATTCGGTTTTTGGATAGGGTTTCAAGACTCCTTTCTTCAAAAATCCGGATCGGGAAAAACACCGCAATCACGTGGTGTGTGTGAGATTCGTCTTAGGTTACGTCAGAACCAAGGCACCTGTATCCTGTATCATCAGTTTTCATCTTTAATGAGCTTATAGCTTGAATATAAAATCTTAGGACACAATCAATTTTTATTCTAAAAGATACAATCATTTTTGTCACACAGTGACCACGTGATCACACCATCATCAATACATAGTATAAAGTAAAGTCGCTTCCCGTGTCTGTATATATGTTTCCTCATATCTTTAAAACCCCTCAACGGATTTTAATGCGTTTTTTTTTAAATATATAGAGTAAGTTAAGGGGCAGGTTTTTAAATATTCTTTATCTCAAATTTTAACCCCAAAAGGGATGAAAAAGAGGTTAAAAGTTTGTATGGAAAACATTATTTTTAAATGTGATCTGTTTCAAAATTTATGATTAGATCAAAGAGCTAAAATTATTAAACAGGTGTTTCAGGGATTTTCGATTTTTAACCCCGAAAGGGGTTAAAATGGGGTTAATAGTTTGTATAGAATTTTTTTATTTTAAAATGCGATCTTTTTCAAAATTTGCGATTAGATCAAAAAGCTAAAAAAAAAGGATATACGTGTTTCAGGGATTTTGGATTTTTAACCCGTAAAGGGGTAAAAGAGGGTTTAAAAGTTTGTATGGGAAATCATTATTTTTAAATGCGATCTGTTTTATGACTTACAATTAGATCAAACAGCTGAAAACAATGAGTACGTGTTTCAGGGACTTTCGTCTTTTAACCCCTAAGTTAACCTTTAAGTTAGCTTCTCGTGGTACCTGATGAGATAAGTATTTCTGCAGCCGGCTCTCCCACTAATAAGTTAAATGACAATATCATAGAAATTAAGAAACAAGTCCCTATTCAGCTATTCCATTAAAATTGAAAATTCAAAAGTACCGGTTTAAAATAATCAATCACGCATGACAAGCGTATTTCGTAGCAATTTGGCTACGGCGTAGCAGACATACCAACCAAAGATCAATGAATCTATCAGAATGATTATAGTATAATTAAAAGCACGCCAAAAGTCAAGGACGTTTCCGATCGTGCAATGTTAATACCCATAATTTAAGTATCTTATACATAAAATAAAGTTAATTTTTGCTTGGTAAGTGCTTATAAATAACACGTGATCTGACCAATCGTTTATTCCGCACCGAAGCTTTTTTCAAATTAAAATATTTTTATTCTGTGAAAACGTCCTGGTTGTTTCCTTTCGCACATATTTTTATAGTCAACAAATTAGGTAAGTACACAAAGCTAATGGCGAGCAAAACTCACAGTAAAATAATCTTTAATATCAACATAATTTATTTCAACATTCTTTCACATGCCACACAAAATTTGTGATTTTTGTTCAAACTGGAACAAAAATCACATCGGCAGCGGTTTTGCAAGCACTTTTTTGTTGTCTTGTTTTGGAGGGAAACACCCAGTGTCAAAACTAAAATGGCGGCGGCAGGAATTTGGAGGCTGTTCTACGATTCCGGGTAACGAAACGGCTACCTAACTGTTGTTTTCTTATTGTAACAACTTAACCATCGATTTTGTTGTTTTGTTTTTGTTTTCTCATCGATTCTGATCTCGGATTATGAAAGTTTTCGAACAGCCTTCAGAACCGCCATTTTGGGAAGTCACGTTTCGTTTTACGCTTGAGTGTTTTGTATTTTTGCAACTGTTCGAAAACTTTGCACCTTTATTTGTTTTCATCTTCTTACCATTAACATTCAGCATGCACAGCACTTTCTTATTCATTTATATTTTTTTTATACACCATGTCTCACGTCTTGAAACAAAATCATTTTATTATTCATCTTTTCATTTTTATCACTATACTTACTTTGTTTTTACAATACAGTGTGAGTCTTGATAAAGTGTACATATCAAAATCAGGGAAACTGCATCCAAATTTATCGATGAAAAAAATATAAAAAAAAATAAAAAAAAATATTTGAATTTTTTATGATTTTTTTAAGATTTCGTATTGTACCTGTTGACCCCATTTAGGTAAATCGTCATAACTTTTAAACTAAGTGTGTTATAGTTATCAGAGTGGAATAAATTTTGTGATGATTGCTAATAATAAGCCGTACTCATGAAGTAAAAATATCCCAGAGAAATAACGTTGTTAATTTATAATTAATAGAAACTTGAAGAAAATCTTGTTTTTTTGTCATAAATTTTACTATTATTTTACAATTTCTTAAAAAGTCACCCCGTAAACCCTACTTTTTTTTTGTTTATGCTTATTCTACATGGCATTAGCTTTCTAAAATTAAAAATTGCACGTTTACAACTCAAATACAACAGTTTCTATGAGCCTTTATAAGTGTCCATGCGCCTGCGAGGCGTGTTGTTTTTTTACTTCACACCATTGTTTTCAAATTTCATGCATTAGGTTAATGATAATTTTAATTTGATTTAAGAATAATAAATGATTATGCAGAAAAAATACTTATGTTTTAATCATTATCCAGTATTTAACTAAGTTAACTGTTTTTTTAAACGCTTATTTAAGAAGTTGTAGTTGAGTTATAAACATGATTTTTTTACTTTTAGCAAGCTAATGCCATGTAGAATAAGCAAAAATAAAAAAAAGTAGGGTTTACGGGGTGACTTTTTAAGAAATTGTAAAATAATAGTAAAATTTATGACAAAAAAACAAGATTTTCTTCAAGTTTCTATTAATTATAAATTAACAACGTTATTTCTCTGGGATATTTTTACTTCATGAGTACGGCTTATTATTAGCAATCATCACAAAATTTATTCCACTCTGATAACTATAACACACTTAGTTTAAAAGTTATGACGATTTACCTAAATGGGGTCAACAGGTACAATACGAAATCTTAAAAAAATCATAAAAAATTCAAATATTTTTTTTTATTTTTTTTAATATTTTTCTCATCGATAAATTTGGATGCAGTTTCCCTTATTTTGATATGTACACTTTATCAAGACTCACACTGTATTTGTCTCTACATCTTTTTACTAGTTTAAAGTTCCATCACTAGTTATGAAACAAAATTAATCGCACTTAAAACGTAACGTAATGGGGTTGCCATCTACACAACTTTGATTTTCTATTCTGTTTTCAAAACTTCAAGACAAGGCCCTACGTTACGTTTTTTATGCATACAACTAGTCACATCCGCTTATGCTATTTATATTAATAAATACTTAATACTTCACTTGCTACCTCCAGATACGTGTTCACAATCGTCAGCTACCTGATCGGCGTGTTTATATTCGCGACCATCGTCGGCCAGGTTGGCAACGTCATCACAAACAGAAATGCCAACCGCCTCGAGTTTGAGAGGCTGCTGGACGGAGCCAAGACCTACATGAGGCATCATAAGGTTTGTCACCGACCGACTTACCCATAGTGTAGATAGTGACTGCGCTCACGAGCATACCCATACCATGTTTTTTAGCAATTTTCTTCTCTCTGTAAGCAAATTTTGGTCAACCGTGATTTTTTGTTAGGTTTAAAGATTACAGAAAGTAAGTTATAAGGGAATTCAACATTTTAGGAATTCAACATTTTGACCCATAAGGGTCAAATAAACCGGCTAATATTCAAATTAAATTAAGTATCATCTCATATATGCTTCTGAAACTCGGATATTGGGTAATTGAGAGCAAACTATACGCCAGTAATTGGTTTTTAAACTTTATCTGCTTTCTAAAGAATAACCAGCCTAGAAGTCTTGGAATCTGGGAAAATCAAAGTTTAGGCCGGCAGTACGAATAACTTTCAGTATTTCTATTCAAAGTTACGCAACTTGGAAATTTAAAGTTTTTGGGAATAGAATACCTAAGTT